GATTTGCGCACATTCACTCCTTTTTCTTGCCAGTAATTGCAAAATGCTGAGCTTTGAAATGGAGGTCCATTATCACTCTGTATTACATGGGGAAATCCCCATTGCTTGAAGATGTCTTGCAGAGCGGCATTTGTTGCTTCAGCGTTTATACGATGCATCTCAACTACGAACAAGAACCTGGAATACGTATCAACGACCATAAGGAACTCTCCGGATCCAAATCCTGGAACCATGAGAAAGTCTATTTAGATTATATCCCATGGTCCATTAGGAAGTTCACGTGATACTAGCGGTACTGGTGAATTCTTCCTTGACAGTAATACACACGTCTCACAGTTTTTGAGGAACTTCTCTGTTTCAATGCTCATTCTAGGCCACCAAAAAAATTCGCGCATTATGCGCTTCATAGCAACTTCACCAATATGTCCACTATGAGCCGATTTCATTGCTCTTGTTCTCAATTCTTTAGGCAAAATGATTCTGTCTCCTTTGCATAACAATGCTCCAAGACTGTGAATGTTCTTCTTGTGCGCTTCATATTTACGTAATTTGTCAGGCCAAACGTCGTGCATCAAGGCAACTCGTAGATTTTCCATTTCCTCGTCTTGTTCTGAACTTAGCTCTATTTCGCTCAGCGTAATTTCCATGCAACCTGCATCCAAAGTGCATAATACATGGCATACATATTCGTCTTCAAATGGCACTGCATGTTGAGAATCACGGATCAATCTAGATAGCGCGTCCGCTACGTTGTCTTCTCCTCTGACCCTTTCCAAAACGTAATCATACGGTTGGAGTCTTAATGCGTAACCTTCAGCTCTTGTAAACGTTCGCTTTCCAATTCTATAGTTTGAATGATAAATAAACTCGTTTGCGGAAGCATCAGTCCGTACGACGAAAGGTCTACCGGTAAGATAAAACGTGAAGCGTTCAATGCCCCACACAACTGCCAATGCTTCTCTGTGAGACTGTGGGTAATTCTGCTCAGTAGTTTTGAGTGCTTTTGAAGCATAGGCAATTATCCTAGGGGTACCATTTGAGTTGTACTGGGCCAATACTGCCCCCAAACCTACAGTTCGGTTTTGTCGGTGTTGCTGAAGTACCCTAACGTCTTTATCGCTTCCAACATATCGGTCTGTAAAGAAGCGAATTCAGCTTCCTCCGTGTCGTTCCAGTAAAACTTCGCAGCGTTTGCTAAAATCCTCAGGTGTTCCGTCTTCGTTGCACGATGGACAAGAAACTTATCAACGAAAATGATTAACCCAAGGAAGCTTTTAACCTCTGCATACGATGTAGGTCATCTGAAATTTTTGATTGCACTTAGTTTCTCTTGCTCAATCCTCCAACCAGCTGCATTGAGTTCGAATCCCAGGAACTTGACTGTTTTGCTGCTAAAAACGCACTTAGATGAGTGGATCTTCACATTATGATCCTTGAGCCTGGTTTGCACTTCTTGAAGATTCCTATCGTGTTCTTCCTTCGTTCTTCCGGAAATCAGGATATCATCGAGGTAGTTACATACGCCTTCACATCCTGCTAGAATCGTTCGTTCCATTACCTCCTGGAAAATATCAGGCGAATTGCATAAACCGAATGGGAGTCGTGCATAACGGAACATACCAAATTCTGTCATAAAGTTTGTTAAATGCCGTGAATCTTCATGTAGCTCAATGTGGAAAAATGCACTAGTTAAGTCTATGGTAGAAAACCATTAAGCACCCTCTAGTTTTGCAAGGATTCTTTCTAGGCTAGGCATCGCATACGGACTACGAAGAATATATCGGTTTGGCCCTCTGAGATCGATGACCAAGCGAAAGTCGTTAGGTCCTTTTGGTATGACGAGCATCGATGAACAAAACGAAGTGTCCATGGAATTCGTTACGCGTTCAATGATACCTGCCGATGTAAGTTCATCAAGTCGCTGACTAACAACATGTTTCATAGCAACTGGAACATTCATAAAAATGTTACGGCATGGTGGTTTTGAAGAATCATAGCTTATCTTGATTGCTGGTATGTTGAACTTCGGGAAAGATTCTTCGGAAGTAACGAAGGCAATATTATGACATCTATTGCCGCTATCCGTAGAAACACTATTTAAGGGAACTTTTAATCCGAGGAGTAAGACGCTATATCGGATCACTGTAGCCCTGCTAAGCAGTGAACGCAGCTCTCTGACCACATAAAATTTCTCGAGCAAAACAGGGCGATCATCCGAGATGTGCAGATATGCTTCAAAGTTGCAGAGTACTTGTATGCCATCCGATGATGCGTATGCTATCAATGGTCGATCAGTTCCTTGTTGAATGTTGTATAACCCTTGACTGTACTGGTCATTTGCGATTAATAGTTCAAATACATACTCCGTCACTGTGTTGACCTGGGCTCCTGAATCGATCAGTAGCTCGCATGTCATTCCTGCTACTCTGGCCTTTATAATACCGTAAATCTCTTCACCCGGCACAATCAAAGTAGTTTCTGAACTTACATTTAGCGACATGGGAACCTATTAAAAATAAAATAATTAATCCAACGCTCAAAATATCACCTGAATGGGCTGAACTACGGTTAGGGATTGCCACGATATAATCTAAGGACAATATAATAAGTATTTGTGGAATTATTTCCTTTATTGATTTCAATTAGGTATAGAAAAAAGTCAAACAGAAGATCATTTAAAGTAATTTTGGCCCACTTCATGGCGATTTAGATGAAACGTCACTTACGGGTCTCTCGTTGTTGTCCTCGTCGTGTGTTGCTTCCTGTTTTGCGCTGAGCACTGCTACTTCCAACGAAGCGCTACCTGGCTTCCGGGAATCGAAATGACGGCTAGTTCTTGGTGCCAATGGTAACTTGCAGGCTCTTAGAAGATGACCCTTACCGCCACAGTTGTGGCAAGTCAATTGGATTGCGAAGCATCTTTCTACGGAATGATAGACGCTGTTGCATCGTGAACAACGTTCCGGAATCTTGAGAATTCGAACCTCGCCAGGAGATACCACCTCGGAAGGCTCCTCGTCTTCTTCCACCTCGAAAGTTCGTCCTTTGATTTGGAACTTTACCGTAGCCTGAAGATGGGTGACTAGTACCATAGTCTGATGGTCCAACAATAGCCCGAACAGCATTGACTGATGCTACTGATGTAGCTGTAACAGCTTGCTTTTTGGAAACATACTCTTCGTTTAGACGTATCGTTTTTATTTCGCGAACTTTGTCGACCAGGTCTGCTAGAGATGCTTTACGACTCATCATTTTCAGCGCTGCTATTCTCACTTCCTTGTGTTTCGCTTGCTCGGCCACAGTGCTCAATATCTCCTCCAACTGTTTCCCTTCCGCCCAGACAACCAGAAGTCGTATAACAATGTACAGACAGTATCGTAAATTGCTACAGTTTAAGTCAAAATCGCATATAAGAATGGCAAACCTCGCATTATGTTTAAGTTAAATCGTATAGAATGCAAATTTCCGACTTATATGCGATAAATCATTTTTCCGTCGTACTGTATCACAAATTAAATCGGATTACATCGTAAGACTTTTCAAAATGAGTATGTTATTACAGATTAAATCGTATATGATGTTAAATCAACTCGTTTAAAATTAAATTAAAATATGCACGTATATGGCCTCCACATTTGTGCGTATAAGCCATTTCTTTGCATTATATACGAATTGTTTGTTTGTATATATGTTTGTATATCACGAAAATAACTTTGAATATACGTGTATTCTGGTTGTCTGGGCGTGTACTCACACTGGCTTGTCGCTAATTCTACTCTTCGAATGAATACCAGGTCCGGCTTATTCGACTTCTGTGACATGAGTGTGAGCTTCCTGCGCTGAAGCATCACATCCGAAGTAGAAGCAAAGTACGTTTTTAGGTGGAACTGTGCATTTGAAAACGGGTGTGTTTCTTGGCTCAGGGCTTCGCCTGACGACTCGGTTGCTTTGTACACTTCCAGAAGTTTATGTCCGGCTTTAACCTTGAATACGATGTACTGTGTTGCCTCGTCATTGATACCTGCCAGTATCATCGTATTTGTTAACAGATCCATCCATGAGCTAAAGTCCAGTCTGGAGATGTCCTCGCCTTCAGCACTTGGCTTGCACTCTGGCACACTGATTGATGCCAAGGACATCTGGTTCATCGAGGAAACGAACCGAGATAATTCGATCGTGGGATCGCTCCGGTGCCCAGTCTGTTGCGTTGTGCTGCTGGCTGCAAGATCGTTCTCAAACTCAACGCTGTTGACTTCTCCGCATTCGCTTCTCGCGGAAGACAGACTGGTTTGCAACGAGCGGATCGTTTCCTGTGCTTTGACTAATTCGTCAGAAAGTACGGCATTACTGGAATTGGCTTGTGACAGTTCTTTTAGAGCTGCGTCGAACTTGGAGCTCTTCCTCTTCCTGAAAATTTGCACAATGTGTCATGAGCTTTGAAGCTTTTTTTTCTAATTCGCAGCCTATTTATGAATCCGATAAACGATAACAAAGACAGATCCCGCTATGTCTCAAATGGCTTACCTTCATTTTTTGCCATTTGTCTATTGCTCGCAGGCTTATTTTGCTTTTTTGCCTTTAGTCATTCGCTGTGATGTTCATCGCCATTTTCTAGACACTCGGCTTACTTTTTTTTTTGCCAAGAACATTTCATTTTGCCATAACCAAATCGGCTTATCTTTCTTTTCTTCTTTTTTTTTGTGTTAATAGCTGCAATGTTATCGTAATCGGTTCACAAAATTGCAACTTGTCACACAATCGCCTGCTTTTCTGCTTTCGACTTAATACTTACTTGGGGAGAGCGTCAACCACGCCATTGTCGTGACGCTTGGAGGCCATTTTTACTTCCGCGAAATAACTGTTCGCTCCAGAAATCGTATACAGAATGACTCGTACAACGAGCTGTCGATCAAGACCAGGCTTTGAGAATCCAGAAACTCTCTTACTCTCTCATTCTCTCTCGTTGTTATCAGAGAGAGCAGGGTATCCGTTTGAGCTTGTTCTGACTTTCGACAGCTTTATTATCGGTTGCTTCAAAACTAAAATAGGTGTACAATAATTAATAAACTGTTAATTTCCTCCATAACCTTACTTACGATTCAGTAGCCCAATTACTCGAATCCACTGCTCACTTCAACTATGCTTTACAGATGGTCCTGGACCTAAACATATTCAGTAATTGAGTAATATTTTTACGTTAATACCTATATATTACCTATTCCAAATTTCTATTTATCTGCAATAAACCGGTAATATTTTAATTCCAGTATCCAACAAATTTCACTAGTAAATTCAATATTTTCTCTTAGAACACGTTATATTAATAGTTTCATTGGCGTCTGCCCGTATATCATTGTTCGTCGTTCCTTTTGTCATCGTTGACAGTTAGTCCTACCGTCACGCATGGAGAACGCAGCTTCAATGCTCGGTTGCGTGGCCGGGCTCCCAGCTGGTCTGTCTTTGTGGCATCATTCTCCCCCCGGTGGAACCAGTGAGCCTCCTTGGTTCCATCTTCCTTGGCCACATCAAGAACTGCAAGCTTGGAGACCGGTCTTCTGAGTATACCTCCATTCGTTTGAACGATCGCCTGCCGAACTCTGCCATCCGCAGCAGTTATGGCTTCCAAAACGCGACCACGCGTCCATCCGTTCCTTCTGGTATCATCTATGATTATTACTAGGTCCCCTGCTGCAACATTCCTCTCCGAGCCAAACCATTTCGTTCTTCTAGTTAGTGTGGGTAAGTACTCCCGTACCCACCGCTTCCAAAACGAGTTCAGCCGTTCTTGGATCATGGCCCACGATCGCTTCAAGAGTGCGTTGTTATCTTCGTACTGCACGACTGGTTGCTTGACGCCGGCTGAGCTCCCTAGAAGGAAATGGTTAGGGGTGATTGCTTCCTGCTCCGCAGAGTCCAGCGGAAGGTAGGTCAACGGCCTGCTGTTGACTATGGATTCTGCTTCTACAATCATCGTGTGCAAAGCATCATCGTCTAGTTTTTCATTGTTATAGGCTGCCGTCAGCGCTGTTTTCACGGATCTGACCATTCGCTCCCAGGCGCCGCCCATGTGAGGTGCACCCGGGGGAATGAATCGCCAAGCTGTTGTTGAACTGGTGAACGTAGTCGCAAGCTTGGTATTGATTTGCTCACGTAGTAATCGCTCTGCACCTTGAAAGTTGGTGCCGTTATCGCTGTGGATTTCAACGGGAAATCCTCTACGGCACACGAATCGACGAACGCACGCTACACAGGATTCAGTTGTCAAGTTGCTCGCGATTTCCAGGTGGACGGCTCGTATCGTCAGACAAGTGAAGAGCGCAATCCACCTTTTCACTTTACTACGCCCAACTTTCACAAGAAAGGGACCAAAATAGTCTAGTCCAACGTAGCTGAATGGACGGGTGAATGGTGATAATCTGGCTTGCGGAAGTGGGGCCATCTGTGGAATGCTCGGTCGTGCTTTCCGTATCTTGCAAAGATTGCACCGAGCTGTGACGAAATTCACGAAAGAGCGAAGCTTCGGAATATGAAAACGTTGACGAATCTCATTGACTGTGGTCTCTTTGTTGCCATGCTTGAGTTGACGATGATAGTGATCCACCAGAAGCGCTGCCAGTCGATGTTTCCTCGGAATGATGATGGGGTATTTGGCATCAGTTGAAGCACATTGCGCTGCCGCGATTCTGCCGTTCACGCGTAGAACTCCAAATTCATCCAGCATTGGTGTGACCTGGTAGATAGTGCTGGATTTCTCTAACGGTCGTTGTTGCTCTGACGGGAGGAAACGATTTGTAGACAGGGTGATAATCTCGTCAGGAAAGGATTGCCACTGAACTAGTCGGAAAATTGAGTTTTCGGCCATTTTCAGCTCCTTCTTCGTAAGAACCTTGGTGTTAAGGCGAACATTGCGACAGTTGTTGGTGAAACGGTGAACGTATGCCATGACGCGTTGCAAATGCGTCCACTTCGAGAATCGTTCGATGTCTACAATACATTCGGGAACATGTATCTCCCGATGAACGTAACAAGCTCGTAGCTCTTCTTCTCCTGATTTTTCCGGATCACCTCTCTTCCAATCTCGCTCAGGTAAGTATAGAAATTCAGGTCCGCTGTACCAGATGCTGTTGGAATTGAAATACGGTCCAGCTCCCCACTTCGTAGCCTCGTCAGCTGGATTATCTTTCGATGCTACCCAGCGCCACTCGGTGCGGTCGGTCGCTTCCAATATTTCGGACACTCGGTACGCTATATAGGGACTGTACTTGTGAGGATCCGCACCAATCCAACTGAGGGCTGCACTTGAGTCGCTCCAAAATACCCGCTTTTTGATCGAGTAGGAATGGCCGTCGATAATGTATTTTGCGAGACGCGTTCCCATCACGCAGGCCTGAAGCTCCAATCTCGGAATAGTGACTGGTTTCAGCGGAACAACCTTCGTTTTTGCGGAAACTAGCGCTACTTCCACTTCTCCATCTTCGTTGACAACTCGAAGGTACGACACGCAGACACAAGCGTCCCGGCCTGCATCGACGAAGGTATGTAGTTGAACGTTTGCTAAATTGGTGGCCCCTGTCTTTCGAAAGTAGCATCTTGGAATCCGAACGCTATTGATGTGATCGATCATCTCAGTCCATTTGCGCCATTGCTCGAACAACCGATCGTCTACTTTCTCATCCCAGCCGATTCCTAAACGCCAAGCGCTTTGAATGAGTACCTTGCCGAAGACCAAATATGGGGCGAGGAATCCCAGTGGGTCGAAGAGAGACATCACACACCGAAGAATCTGTCTCTTTGTTGGCTTGTGGCCGTTCTCGATGATGGATGCGACATCTCCACGCATCGTAGCTGAAAAACATAACTCATCGGACTTTGTCATCCAACGCATTCCCAGGACGCGTTCAGATTGCTCCTTTTCATCGAGACACATTTGCTTCACCGGATGCTGTTGACTCTCCCCTAAATGCTGAAGAACCGTTGGGCTATTCGAACACCAATTCCGAATCTCGAACCCTCCTCGTTTGTGGATCTCTCGAACTTCAGACGCAACTTGTTTCGCCTTATTCTCGGTGGAGAAGCTATCCAGATAGTCGTCAACATAGTGATTGAAAACTATCCCCTCAACAGCTCGTGGTAACTCCTTCTCGAAAGATCTTGCGTTAGCGTTCTTGACGTACTGTGCGATGGCTGGTGAACACGTCGCACCAAATGTAGCAACGTCCATACGGAACACTTGAGGTTCTTCCGAAGGGTCGTCACGGAACAGGAAACTTTGTGCAGAACGATCCGCACCTCTCGTACGGACCTGATGGAACATCTCTTTCACGTCTGCACTTACGGCTACAGTATATTGTCGGAACCGAAAGACTACGAAGCACAGTGGAGTTACCATGTCGGGTCCTTTTAGTAGAACCGAGTTTAAGGATATGCCATCCACTTTTGCGGACGCGTCCCAGATTAATCGAACTTTCTCTGGCTTGTTCGGGTTGGTCACCGCTCCGAGGGGGAGATACCATGTGCGACGAGGGTCCGTTTCTGCTAATTCTTCCGCTGTCGCTCGGTGCGCATAGCCCTTTTGCTGATACTCGTCAATCTGCCGCAAGATGTTTTGCTTGAGCGACGGATCCTTAGCCATTCTGCTCTCGAGACACTGGAGTCGTTTGACCGCCATCGGGTAACTGTCTGGGAACTCAAAGTTATCATATTTCCACAGCAGCCCCGACTCAAACCTCTCGCCGACTCGTTTAGTAGTAGTTTCTAATATTCGGGCACATCGTTTGTCCTCTTCAGACATTACCGCACCCGTTGGTTTAATTCCGGCCTCCTCAAAAGAAAAGTACTTCTTCAAGGCTTCGTCAAAGGCCTCTTCTCCCCCACACTCACAGATGTGATAGCTGTATTCTGGATGTTCTTGAGTACGCTGACCTCCGTAGACACACCAGCCTAACCGTGTCTTGACGGCCGTAGGGCCACCCGTAACACCTTCCCGAGTTTTTAACGGAAGCGCCAGTCGCAGATTATCGACACCGATGAGCAATTTGGGAACTGCGTTGTGATAACCTCGAACAGGAAGTCCAGCGAGGTGGGGGTAAATATTCATCAGCTTGTTGATTGGTAGACTCTGCATAGGAAGATCCAAAGCTTGGATTGTGCGAACGTCGTTCACTCTGTACCGTTTAGAATTTCCGCAGTCGGAGATGAGGATCGAGATGCGCTGTGAGTCAAGTTCTTCCCTGGTCACGTCACCGGTCCACTTCAAGCAGAGTGGCTTTTTGTACCCGGTAACGCCCAATTCCTTTTCACGCTTTTGAGACCATTGTGTAATGTGATCGGAAGTATGCGGAAAAGTAAAGACGGTATGGATGCTTCGTTGAGGTGATACTGTACATGCGACTCGCTGGTTTGTCCCTTGTACTTCGAAGCGGAAGCATGTAAGAGTGGATTGTGCCGATATTGACATCCGTCGACCTCACAGCGTTTCGTACTGCGGCACGCTCTTCGCCCGTGATTCGACAAGCAGGTTCGGCACAATTGCAAACTTTGCACCTTCTTCCAGCGGTCGTCGACCGGTAAGGCGGAGAATATTTTGCAATCCTTTACGCGATGTCCTTCTCTTTTACACACCAAGCAATCCACCTTCCCCGCTTCAGTGTGAATTAAATTCCGATCTCGTGGCTTCGGGCGATCCTGTTTGCTGTATCGTTCGAAAGTAGTGGCTACGTTCGACACGCTGTAGGCATCGCTGACGATCTCCTCCATGAAATCGCTGAAGGTCTTCAAATTTACCTCCCTTTGCTGTCTACGATGTCCAGCCCACCTCATTCGATACTCGGCAGGTAGTTTCTCCACCAAATCTTTCAGCAAAGTGGGGTTCGCAAGATGGTCGTATAGATGTGCAGCGATAATATGATCGCAAAGTGCCTGCACCATAGTACCAAACTCGATTATCATTTCCAGCTTGTCTACCTTTGGCGAAGGTGCGGTTCTCACCCTTTCTGCTAGTGATTCGATCAGTAGCTCGGAACGTCCGTAGCGCATTTTGAGTGTTTGGATCACTAGGGGGACTGAAGCCGGTAGGATCAGACGACTGCGTACAGATTCCCATGCTGGGCCCTTCAGGCACCGTTGGAGGCGTACCATGTTTTCCCCGTCGCTATACCCACATGCATCGGTAGTGTACTCGTATTGACTAATAAAGACGGGCCAATCAGCTGGATTTCCTGAAAATGTTGGCAAGTCACGTGGTAGAACTTGCCTAGCAGCCAGTTGTTGGTGTGTAGGTCCAATATCGTAGCCTTCTTCTCGCAGGTTTTGTGGTTCCGCAGCTCGTGCGCGGGTCCTTCGCTGGCTTCCCACGAATACCGGATCGATTTCGTTTAGTTGCTGCTCATCGTGTATCGTGGGTATGATATTCGCATGTACGCTAGTTGGGTTCGTTGGGTTTCGTTCCTGACTCGTTTCTTTTGGTCTACGCGCTAGTGAACTCAGAAGACGAGGTTCTGTTTCAGTAATCCACTGCGGCGCATGAGCGCGTTGTTGCTGCGGTGCATTAGTAGCATTTCGCTGCTTTATTGGGGAGAGGTGTTCTGGCAGGATTACTCTGGGGTTTTGCTCTTTACGCTTAGTACTGGTTTCTCTATTTCCTTCTGGATTCACGTTCCCGGGGGCTGGCTTGGTTATAAATAAAGACAGCCTCTCCTTCGCAGGTCGAACCGATTTCGAACAGGTTTTAGGTACAGCGCCTTTGCTGACATCCGGCTCGCATGGTTTCAACATTCCGTACGGATTCGGATCACTTGCCGTTGGCTGTAGCTGCATTTTGCACCTCGCTAGATGGTCCTGCAAAGCTGCAATTTGCTCGAACGTTAGATCAGACGGTTTGTCTTCTGGGGGTTGCAACAATTCCTTTCTCTTTCCTAGATCCACCGAACCTTGTTCTCCGGAGGAAACAGGCGGTGGTGGTAGTTGAATTCTGGTTCCTACTCTGATATCGGCCGAATTACCAATAACGGCTGGTGATTTCCTGGAATGAGTACCAGATCCGGGATTAATTTTCGTCTTCTCTAACTTTTTCACCATCAACTTCACTGAAAGGCTTCTAATCGAACCAGACTCTTCCAAATCAGCTGATTGTTTCTCGACCCAATCTTCGATGTCCTTAGCCCGTTTCATGTCTTCTTGCCTAATGGTGTGACTACGAGCACTTTCTAGATCATCTTCTTCCTCCTGCAAGGATTTCTCCATCATCTGGTACTTCCGTTCTAAGAACTTGCGCTCGAGTTCCACATTCATGGCCATTCTCTCGAGCTCACGCATTTCAGTAAGCCGCCGCAGTTCCAGTTGCAGTCTGGCTTGACGCGCGGAAGAAGTAGAAGTGACGGATATCGACGGAGCAGGAACAGGGAGGCACTTGATGCACACCCACTCACAATCTTCTATAGAGTCCGTTACCCCAGCACAGGACATATGCCACCAGCCCTCACAACGATCACAACTGACAAAGTTGTCGGCTGAATTGGGACGGTCGCAGGCCACACAGCCGAGCATTGAAGCGTCCACCTCCGGTGTTCCCTGGGAAGAGTTTCCTCCTTCGCTCATTTTGAATCTTTTGAAGAATGTTATCAGAGAGAGCAGGGTATCCGTTTGAGCTTGTTCTGACTTTCGACAGCTTTATTATCGGTTGCTTCAAAACTAAAATAGGTGTACAATAATTAATAAACTGTTAATTTCCTCCATAACCTTACTTACGATTCAGTAGCCCAATTACTCGAATCCACTGCTCACTTCAACTATGCTTTACAGATGGTCCTGGACCTAAACATATTCAGTAATTGAGTAATATTTTTACGTTAATACCTATATATTACCTATTCCAAATTTCTATTTATCTGCAATAAACCGGTAATATTTTAATTCCAGTATCCAACAAATTTCACTAGTAAATTCAATATTTTCTCTTAGAACACGTTATATTAATAGTTTCATTGGCGTCTGCCCGTATATCATTGTTCGTCGTTCCTTTTGTCATCGTTGACAGTTAGTCCTACCGTCACGCATGGAGAACGCAGCTTCAATGCTCGGTTGCGTGGCCGGGCTCCCAGCTGGTCTGTCTTTGTGGCATCACTCGTTATACATACAATATTATCCGGCTCTCGGAGTTGATCAAGTGATCAAGAATTGGGTTGTTTTTAAAACCAATAAAGCAAGTGAGTAGGTAATGGTGGTATATATTTTGACCATGTCCACTATAAATGTAACCCACTGGTGGTTTTCTAAACCATTTCGAGAAGTGGAATAATACATGTTAACCTCAGTTTAACAATGCTCATTATATATCCCACAGTAATTTCCATTTAATTCCAAATACACTGTAATCGCTTCTTACGCGGGGGATACAGCTGCGTAAAAAATGGGTGAATTCCAAAATCCACGTAAAAAATTCGCGTAAAATATCTTAATAACACTTTACTCATCCTAACGCAAACTCGGACTAATAAATTCATAAAAAAAAGTGCCAAGGATCATTATCCGAAAACACAGAATTGTTCCTTTATAACTAAAATGATTTTTTTTACTGAGGTGACTATAATAAAAGAAGGTTTTTTTACTGACCCAATACTGTTGCACTTGTAATGCTACCCTTTCTCAGAATCGGCAATACAGTTATAAGATCTGTTTTGTTTCAATGTGCACCTTTTAGATCACCTAAACTGCAACCTTATTTGATTGAAGAACTAAAATCCTTATTAAACCGACAAGTTTTGCATCTCCAGCCTCAGCAGCCATCATAATCCGTCGTGGCGCCAGAGAAATCCTATAATACGCTTTCTTCCTCTGAGCCCTTAATAGCAAAAGTTCGATTTGAACCAATAAAATTTATTGTGCTCTAATATACCGGAGCATTGTTTTGATTTTCGTTGTTCTTTTATCGTTATTACTTTTTGTTTTCGATATCTCTCAGCTTTGCTTCGCCCCATGGCACCAATCATCAACATCAGCACAAAAGCAAAACGAAGGGAGACTTTCTCCAATAAGCAAATTTACCACTATCAGTGCCACCGAGGATATCGTCTATCCTGGACCGTCTATTGATAGTCGATATTTATGAGTATACGGAATGTTCGATTTTTGCTGTCGCCACTGGTCATAAAAGCAAAATTATTGAATGACCAAAGAAATGTATTCACCACAAATTAGATACCGACGAAGAACGAAACAGAAAGACATTTAATATGTCTAATATGATTCGCCGTCCCATAAAAACGTTTTAGCCAATATATTCTATTTCACGTAAGTGGTTAATACTTACACCGTTACTATCATCAATTGTGATAAAGCGATAACTTCGAAGTTGACTAAAATTCGCAGCAAAAGTAAATGAAGACAAAAGCCACCACAATAATACCAGAACTTGTGCGCGGTATGTTTGTAGCTAAATACAACCTTAATTGAGCTCAATTAAAAAGTTTTGAAATAAAAATATTATCCAACCGTAAAACGATTTTATCAGAAACTGTCTTTGTCTTTTCTTCAACGCTATCTAAAGCAGAGGTAGGTAAGACGATTTTCAGAATAGCCCCAAGTTTTTTACGTGAGCGTAATTTTACGACCGTTCTAGAGCAGACTGTCTCACCTTCCTCAATCGTTCGCATTCTCAACAATGGGACAAATTCGGTAGGGTGTCGAGCACCGGAATGACTTTATTACCAACGCTTACGCCATCGGTTTTCAAAATTTCGGGATGGCTAGAAGGTTAGCTGTTGGAAGGCCAAATATTTACAATTCCAGTGTCCAAACAAAATATTCATATTCATTCATCAGTATAGTGGGGATGAACCCAATTATCATATCGGATGATAGGTATCGGAATTATTCGATGCTAAAGTTTATGATCATAGGATACAGCAATTCCCCAAAGAGTACGGTGGGTTGTTTAGTCTATCCACCGATATTTTCAGCGATCTTCTAACTAATCATACTGATATTTATTTTTTTTATATGTCAATCCTATACTACTTAATAACAAAAAAAAAATACTCTATTGGTCTGAAAAAAGGCTTACCCACCTTTCTCTAAGCTTGATTGTTAAACGGCTGAACCTTTCATCGATAAACATGCTTCAAGTATTTTGTTTATTTCTTATTCAATCCATAATGATGAATAAAATTGGACTAGAATAATATCATTGTACCCCACAGTGGTTTTTAACTCGAACTTCGTCATTTTAATTAATAACACCATAACGTGTTTTTAGTAGCCTGACGTTGTCACCAAAGTTGATGGGCAATAACTTCTGTATTTAGTAGTCACTGTCTACGAAAAAACTTTCGACCAACTCAAACACGAAACTCTATGGGCGCACTAAGGCGCAATGGATTCCCAGATTAAAATCGTTAAGTCCAACGCAGAACGAGGCTTTCATGAGCAGTGTCCTGGATAATAAAACCTTGTTGAACCCTATTTGGGTAGTCACTGGTATGAGGCAAGGATGTATACTGTCAATGCTACTGTTCCTTATCGTAATAGACGACATCATGGTAAGTGAAATTGACCGTGTTCTGAACCGTGGTACAGACTCCTTCCGAAACCCGGTTTCTTTCGATCTGTTTCATGGCTAAGAACCAGTTTAAAACAAATTTTCTAAATTCGGGAATGGTCCCAGAACGGATACTCCCAAGTAACTGACAAAAATGTGACTTAATTACCTATGGAATATGGTAAGAATGTGACTTAATTACCTATGGTAATACTCTACTTTGATCATAGCCTACTTTGATGCAACGCTTGTCATTGCGTCAAACCGATATGCGCAGTGTATCAGACTTGATATAAACAACATAATTGTTGGCTAACTTTCGCTATGGGATGGGATTTTTGAAAAACTGATAAAATTTCCTTTTAGTTTTTTTTTAAACTCATTATTGAACATTGACGGTTACGAGAAATGATCAAAAAATATTTTTCTATTCTATTTTTATCGATCTGAAATAAGGTAAAAAAAACCTACCAACATTTTTAATCAAAGTTTTTTGTTACTTCATACGTAAAGTTTACGATATTCAAACATGGGAGGAAATGCAATAACAATATCAATATTAGAGCAATAAATTATTAGCTAGAGAAAGTTCTTAATAGTATAGATTGATAGTTCCGCTAGAGTACGGCAGTATAAAAATTGAACAGAAGTTGAAATTGAGCGAAAGGTTATTAATGCGACAATACTAATCAAATGCGCACCCCCTTTAGTATTGTCGACCAAAACCTTAAACAGTGAGCATGTTTTAAATTTTAACCGTTCGTGTAAGTTCCTGCCATCTATAGAGGACATGTTAACTGTGCTAAACAAAAATTCACTGTTAATATGAGCAAAATATTTCTAAAATCTATAATATTCCTTGTTAACAAATTCATTGTTTCTGTCGAGTTAAGGTAAAAATTCACACAAGGTAGATTTTAGGTGAAAATTAAAATTCAAAGTTTTTTGCTGTGTAATATATTATTCCTGCGCCTCGAATTTCAGCATTGTAGTATTCAGCATTTCAAGCAGTATGGAAAAACTAATTCCATTAATTTCATATCGCATTGAAATCAACGAATGAGTCAGACTAAAAACTGGCAAATACTGACCAACAAAGCAGTGAATCGTGAGATGAAAATCCGCCAGCCATCATCCCCACTAGGAACGCTAAAATTCGGGTTATTGAAGAGCAAGATACACAAACAAAATTCGGAAACATTGTTTACAAATCTAATGGAGATCATAAATTTTTCGTTCGCTTTTTTAAACGGAAACAACCGGAAAGGAAGAGGTTAGTTTTGAAACTTTTCAACGCTGGAGCTAGGCTAGCTTCATTTGCTCAGCCACTGACTGCCCAGAAGAAGAGGCAACGGAACGGCTCCCATCAGCGTCGAACAAATGTTGTTCACTGTCTGTACGAATAGCCGGAGAAATCAATTTAAAAATATGTTAAAACAAACAGAAACAACACTCTTTCAAATTGTTTTCCTTGTTTTCACTTTTACTCCTACTCCAGTTTCCTGGTACGATGGCGACTCATTGCCACACAGCTAGTGTCAGAGAGTTATGAATGGGTGTAAGGATTTTTGCTGGTGTAAGCAGTGAATATGGTTCTACCCTTTGCCTTATAGCTGGGGAAAACGATCGGTGACACTACAACCAGTTATGCAAATTGTAACCCGTTTTGCTTAATTATCTTAATTAATTTTAGCCATTTCTCACCATTTAGGTAGGTTTCGTTGAGGAATGGCAGAGATGTGTGAAATAATATATTGCGGGTTGAGCTTTTGGACTGCTCGTAACGTACAAGAAATTTAAATTTATGAACAAGGTCTGAATTTAGATAAAGTTGGTAACTTACTTAGGTAAGGTTTCTTTATGAGAAAAAAAATGCAGTTCAGGGCTTGTCTTATCATGTTAAGTTGATTTCTGGAGTCTATTTATACATAAATGTATGGTAGTTGACAGGAAAGAGTCACTAACAACTCTTCTAGGGTAATTTGCCGATTGTTGTACACTTAACATTGTTTACCGTGCAGCATTTATCTATGGCCATGACATGGTCATGGTGACATGCTAATCAATCATCAATTATTGAAAGAAAATATATGTTTTTTGATATCCAGTATAATAAATATTGTAATAAAACATTTTAAAATATTTTTGACATCACATCAAATGAATGCAAATGAATGCACGAAATAAATCAGAGTATGTAGTATGTACTGTCAACTGTCAACTTTCGCGTAATATTACCAAGACCAACAACCTTAAACGCAGTACAGACTGGAGAGTTATAACATGCTATAACGGTTGTCAAATAATTGCAACACAGAAACCTTGATGGTGGTTATAGTACGTTCAGACTACAGAGTTATAACATGTTATAGTGCTATCTTGATGGTGGTTTCTGTGTTGCAATTATTTGACAACCGTTATAACATGTTATTACCAACAATCAATACGAAACTAACGATTTTAAATTGGCTCACCACTTGACTAGCCTATTGGTCCCAAGCAAATGATTAACGTACCCCATTCTAGTCGAAATTCTAGTACTACGCAATGTTTGTTTTGATTCGCTATGAAAGTTTGACAGATAAAATGAGGGGTTCGAGGATTTCCCTATGTTTCGAGGGGTGAATCGATTAGCTTGGGACCGAAGAGAGTACCAGAGGTGAGCCAAAAAGTTGAGCACGTTATTTCGGGACCTTCTAGTCTTAGAGTTACCTCTATGTTATTACTCTGCAGTCTGTACAGCGTTTTATGCTTTGTTCAGACTACATACTTATAACATGTTACAATGGTGTTAAAATAATAATCGACAAGAACAACGTCATCAAGATAGCCTTGATTTCCACCCGTTATCGCTAAGTTTTTGAAGCGACTTGAAGACTGTGAAGATGGGAAGAGCGCGTAGACCCGTCACCCCCTCACTTTTACTAGATATCAGTTTTAGTGTAACTAAATAAACACAGGTCATCTTCTTATTAATTTGTTTGAACATCTCAAGACACATTCTAACTCGGAAAACGCCTAAATGTATGTATCACCTAATTAATCATCGCTGATCAACCAATGATTTTTTGTAATTTTCGATAACTTCTAGCGATTGGATCTGCTTAAAACGTTTCAGAAATTAAGTTTAATTATTACTTTAACTAACTATTTGGTTATTTTGGTGCTACAAGAATTGTTGACATGCTTAGTAATGTTTTGAAAATGACCAATTTCCCATACATTTTTTTATGTGTCTTTATATTTATTTCCGAAGGAGAAAATCACATTTCCATTTATTTCCCCTGCGTACATGATGCAATTGGTTATTTCTATGGGTGATATTGTAGCATGATAATGTGGCTTCCAAAAATACATGGTTTAGACCTCTGATTCTTATATTTGGTAGGCGCCATGCTTTTTTATGTGTCTTTATATTTATTTCCGGGAGTGTATTGTAATCTGTCGGTTAAAATCTCTTCGGTTGTCCGGAGTACCAAATCTCTTTAGGGAATAATTCAGACTCTCACTCCTACTGATCACTAGAGTGGTTCAAAATATAGATTTTCCTTCACCATGTTCTATTGATTTCTATTCGGGTTCTGTTAATTCTCCCAAAATTTGAGTTCATTTGGATGTTAACTCATACTGCACTCTTTGAAGTTTATATGAGAATTACAATGGAAAAAGTGAAATTTTGGTTCTCATCGTTCTAGACCTTCGCTGTAATGATCTAAGGAAAAGTTTGCTATCTGCACTAATGTGAAATTTTCTCAGCTGCAGCTGCAGCTAAGGGCCTTCCTTAGCTCAGTCGGTAAAGGCGCAGCTACAAAGCAAGACCATGCTGGAGGTGGCTGGGTTCAATGCCCGGTCCGGTCTAGGAATTTTTCGGGTTGGAAAATTTCTCGACTTCCCTGGGCATAGAGTATGATTGTACTTGCCACACAATTATACTAAAGGGTGTCCACGATGAAATTGCCACACTATGAAATGGCTCTAACTTTTTAACCGTTTGGTAGAATTTAATGAAAATTTGGGTGGATTTAGTTCATAGTGCATTATTTACATCCTGCAAGTTTTAAAGTCCTGTGATCAAAACTCGTGGAAATGGAGTCGAAAGAACAGCTCGTGCGTGATAAAATCATGCGCATTCATCACGAGAACAAGGATCTCTCGCATCGTTCCATCGCTAAAACGTTGGGAATCGCGAATTCCACGGTGTCGTGAGTGATTAAGCGGTTCGAGGAACGGTTGACCACCGATCGGAAGCCCAGAAGTGAAGGAAAAAGTATTCCGTACAACACCAAAAATCACAACCGCGTAGTTGGGGCCTTCAACCGAAATCCGAACGCCTCCGTTAGGGATGTGGCTAAGAAGCTGCACCTAAGCCGAAGTTTTGTCCAGAAGGCCAATACTAAGGCTAGGCTTCGAACGTCCAAGGTACAAAAGGCCCCTAATCGCGACGAGAAGCAGAACAAGTCCGCCAAAACCCGTGCCAGGAAGTTGTACCTCAACATGCTGACGAAAGTTGAATGCTGCATCATGGACGACGAAACATATGTGAAGGCCGACTTCAAACAGATCCCCGGCAACCTGTTTTTCACGGCCAAGGATAAGTTCAGCGTTCCGGAGCACGTCTGCACTCAGAAGATGTCCAAATTTGCGAAGAAATTCCTGGTTTGGCAAGCCATCTGCACGTGCGGGAAGCGGAGTGCACCTTTCGTGACCCAGGACACGATGAACGGACAGGTGTACATAAAAGAGTGCCTCCAGAAGCGGCTGCTTCCTCTCCTGAAGGCCCACAACGTCCCAACAATCTTCTGGCCGGATTTGGCCTCATGCCACTACTCCAAGGACGTGCTGAAGTGGTATGCGGACAATAAGGTCAATTTTGTGCCGAAAATGTTCAACCCTCCCAACACTCCGGAGCTCCGCCCCATCGAGAAGTACTGGGCGATTATGAAGCAGCACCTTCTTAAACGACCTAAGGTAGTGAAGACAGTCGAGGAACTGAAGAAAGTATGGGTTTACATGCAAAAAACGGTTGATTCACAGGTTGTGCAGAATCTTATGGCCGGGGTTAAGGCCAAGGTGCGGGCATTTGCGTATGGACTGTAAATAAAATACAAGTAAAATGGTAAACTGAAGTTTAATAGTTATTTCTCAATCCCTGAAAATTTGATGGCAATCGGATGAAAACTCGAATTTTGCGAATCAATTTTGTGTGTGGCAATTTCATCGTGGACACCCTTTAATGCAGAAATAGTACAGGCATCGAAAGCTCTCAATTAATAACTGTGGAAATGCATCTAGAACACTAAGTTGAGAGCACGCAATAAGCTAATATGCGATATGCAGTAAGCCTGAAATGCGAAGAAGAAGAAGAAGAAGCTTTTCTCAAGACCACATTTTAATTAAACGTTAGGATAGTTAGTTAATAATTAATATGAAGATGATCTTCTTCTAACATGCTCCATACACGTATCAACAGGTAACATTGGTGTGTTTGGTGGGAAGAATAGGGCAACAAATTCAGGCTACTAGGGGAAATGGATGTAATGTCAGCCCCTAATTTGGGCCCATACATAAATTCAGCAATCGACTAAATTTTCAATAGCGACCAAAAATGTCCATTAGTACCGTCTCAATGACGCGTTCATCTAGATAAAATTGATAGACATCAGATTTTTAGCGATGGGACATTAGAGCCATTTCCCCTATGTCATAAGTGCAAGATGTGGTGTTGCCTTAAAAGCATTCGATTAATCATATCAGAAAGTTATCAGCTTCGAAATCAATTAATAACTAATTGCCTTGACGTCTAATCAAACAGTGGTCTTGAGTAAAATTGTAGCTGATAAAATTTCACATAAGAACAAATATCAAACTTTTCCATAAACCATTATGACAAAGTTCCAGGACGTTGAGAGCACAAAATATATGGTTCCCATAGTAGTTGCCATACAAACTTTAAAGAGCCAATGCAGTAGGAGTTCTCAATCCATCATTCCACAAATTTTGGGAAAATGATCAGGATCGATTTAGAAACGATTGAGCCTGGTGGAGCTAAATCGATATTGCTACTCAGTATCATCAGTCGATTATGATAACACATCAGTATTGCCTCAACAACACCATTTATCCCACACGTACAACCATAAAAATACAAACAATAAATTTTAAAGCAGAAACAGAAAATCAAAATTACACTTAATTATTTAAAAAAAAAGCCAACTAACATTTCCGCGAAACATTAAAAAGCAACCAAGAAATAATTGACACTGTAACAATGTGAAGTTCTTTCGTTTCATTCCATAACCAAACAAATGTGCGTTTCAGAAAGCCATAAAACAGTTTTATTCTTCTAATCAAACTTTATTCAAGCCAATTTTTCATGGTTTCCGGAATTTCGTACATCGTTATTCAATACAAGACTAGTACATTAGTTTTTAATTTTTGCAAAAGAGTTTTATTCCCTCCTACCGATCGGATGCTCGTACACATTATCTAATCAGTCTAATCAATTTATATCATTTTTATCTCAAACCTTGTTTGCGATGGTTACGCTTCCAATGTTCAATGAACTGATAATTAATTACCCTTAAACATTTCATGTTGGCACTGATTTACATCCTAAATCTATGATTTCTTGTTTACTGGATTCCAAATGTTCGTCATAATTTTTGTTTGTTATATCCAAGAAGTTTAGATTTTCAATTCTATATTAATATTGATAACCTCATGCAAAATTTGATTAGCGTTTCCAAACATTTACCAAAGTGATGATTTTTTAAATTTGAAACGATGACTGACTAAGTCCCCATGCTTTATCAATTATTTTTGATTCATTGAAATGGCTTTTTATCAACATTATTGTTATCGTCATGAGCGAACGGAGGAGGTTTTATGTCTATATGCGGTGAAGTGATGGTAAATGGATTGTCATTGTAGGTGTTTCTTCTCATTAGCCAATCCGGATTAGCAGTACAGCATTCATCATTCGAAGGAGGTCTTGGCCGTTCAAAGCTTATCTGGGGATCTTCTTCCAACCCCAGTGTACTTCGAATACGCCTGTTGATTGCCTCTGCCGTTAAGGTATAGTTAATAGGGTTTATTGAACTTCTAGCATAACTCTCAAACGAATCCATCGGTTTCATCAACGAATCATCCAGGAAAGGATTGCGCATTTTCTTTTCAACCGTTGCGTATGCTTCATCGTAGTAATGCTGCATGGTGAGTTTTTGCCGCTTGCGATAATTTTCCAGGTCTTCCTGATGATAGTAAGCGTTGTTATCAACTGGATTCCTTGACCGTTTCCGGCTCGGTTGTTCCACTTTAAACTCTAGTGGTTGATTGTCTAATGAACCGACTGATGGTTGCTGACTTAGATCCAATGTTTCCGGTTCCTCAGTGTCCGTATTGGACGTATGAAGGTCCGGCAAATCTATATCGTTTTCATCCGAACTGCAAACGATATACTCGAATCAGATGGAGATAATCATCCAATCTTCTCACATGCAACATGCATAATATCATGCAAAGAAATAGATGCTAAAATGCAGATTTCGTTTGATAGATTTGGCTTTGGAATTTATTCTTCTTTTACGTAGTTATATCTTAAGTCTGCATACAGTAATGGTAAATTTCTAAACCAATTCCAAACGAAATCTGTAATACCCAGTAAATGTTTAAAAGATGTAAAATAAGTAAATATATGAAATTGTGATATTCAGCAAAATTACAGATTTGATAAATCATTTCGATGTTTTTTTTTTTTTTTAATATTTTCATTAAGGTTTATATTCCCCTAAAATGGTTATATTTCGAAGCGTCGATTGGTGCGTATTTCCAAAAAATATCTAAATATGTAAATGTTACCTACAGTGATATACCATTTTTATGTTTTAAAGATTGAGTACAAAATACATACCATTTCAGTCGTTAACGAACCCTTACCAGTAACACGAAACAGTTTTGATCAGCTGAAAAAAAATGAAACGGATTAGGAGTATTGGACTCCATTAAGCCTCCTAACTATTATTGATTAGATTTTCAAATATTAAATAAAGGTTTTTTTTCCTCTGGACATAACACCACTGCGACCAGTAATTTCATCTATTGTAGTATATCCCGTGTCCTTAGTTTAGTGCATGTCGTATTACTCCATCACTATTGAGCAATGATAAAGTATTCGGTTTTGATACAGTTGTCATTCTTGCCTTCATCGCAAGGAATCGATTCTAATTGAAAGGTCCCGCTATTTGTACCCTTCGGAGTGTTGAAACACCCTCCAAAGGCGCGCCCCTTTGTCAGTCAAAATTGGATTCCTTAGCAACAAAAACATGCAATGACACCGATAGTGACCATGCATCAGAACCCTAGTCTTAACCACTTCAAACTAGGGAACAACGAATAGAAGATTAGGAATCACATATGTGAAGACTAACTAGCTCATTTTTTCCTTGTTTCAAGATCATCCACTGTCCAAGCAACACGAGGACTTATCACTATTAACAAGTCATAAAAAAATCAAGGACTAAGATGTGTTCCTTTGATTACTGAAAAATCCTGTTCCCCTAGGTTGAAGTAGTCAGGACTAGCAATCGGTGGTAGATCTTACATACCGTAACGTACCACGAAAAGGTGATCTACCGGGCCCCATGGTCCATTCAAACCGGAACATGTTCCGGCCATATCTCCGCAACCAGTTGACCCATTCCAAAAATTCTCAAAAACCTGATATGGAACCATAATAGGGGAAATGGCTCTAATGTTGGCCTATGGATTTAAGATTGGGCCCATCGCTAAAAATCTACTATTTATCAATGGTATCTAGATGAACGCGTCATTCGGACGGTACTAATGGATATTTTTGGTTGCTATTGAAAATTTAGTCGATTGCTAAATTTATGTATGGGCCCAAATTAGGGACACTTAGGCCGACATTACATACATTTCCCCTACCTTTTATTTGCTGGTTGTTGCGTCCGATTTGGATCAATACTTGCAAACATACCGTTCTTTATATTGTTAAACACGCACACACACGTAGACACAGATATTTTCCGATCTCATCGAGGTGTGCCGAATGATATATGACACTCGGCCAGCCAGGCCTCGGATCTAAAGTCGATATTTATTCGCTTCTCTAAATGAAGAGTAAAAAAATACAATTAACAGATGGGAGCCGCTTCTGCCGGTAGTCACGAGTAGGACGCCACGCACCTTGAAATGTGTATGAGCATTATACTGATGTAAAATTTGAAATTTTCGCTCCACAGTACTCAAATGGTTTTCAATCGAGTACAAATTAGCCTTACACAATTTGAACTCATTTGGTAAGAAACTGACTTGGCACAGACCATTTGAAGTTTATATGGTAATTACTATTGGAAAACCAAACTTGTTCTTCATAGTGTTCTAGCCTTTTTCCATATTGCATTGTTAAAAAGTTATATAGGGGAATTTACGTATTCTCGGCAACCTAAGCAGCGACCTTCTTTCTATAGCCTTTTTCTCTAAGGAACGCACACATATGCAGTACTGGTTTCTTTACAATCTTTTGCTGCCAGCTGCTCTAACAATTTCAGTCGAAAGAATTGTCAAAAACTGTTTTGAAACGCTTTTACAAAGCTCCAATCTTCTCTAGTGAGAGCGAGTATTGTCGGCAACCAGGTTTTCTTCGGCAACCGTTCCATTTGAACTGCATGTAAATCTGCTGTTCTATTATCGGCAACTCGAAATCAGCTACAATTTGTAGTGCGTGTGTTTCATTTAAAGAAAACCTTGCTAGATTGCTTTTTCTCAGTGGTAAAAATATAGTCAAATTGAAGCTGAAAGCATAAAGCATCGTTTAATGCATTCAGCGAAGTGTTTTCGTAAGAAAATCCAGTGAAAATAGTGTTTCAATTTGGGTTGCCGAAAATAGTCTGGCATGCCAAACCGTCATTTCCCCTAGCTATTCTTATGCTAAATTTTCTCAACTTCTACTTTGCGGAATAACGTATATCAGCCAAACTTTAACTTAAATATTTATTAATTGTTTGAGAGAATGATAATCTTATGGCATGACCAAGCAGCTGTTTAGTGGGCAACACTGTATTCTGCAGTGTGACATAATAGCCATGATTTTTGTGCTCTATTCTAGGCGCCAAAAACACCAATGTTGCCTGCTGAACAGTTGATTGAGCATAATCATAAGATATCAGTGGCTTGAATCATTAATAATTTTTGATTCTTACATTCTATCGAAAAGTGGTCTTCAGCAAAGTTGTGGAAGAGAAAAAAAAATCTACAAGAACAACTTTCATTTCCAAAAGCAAAGTGGTTTGAAAAAAATGGTATTCCTATAGTAATCACCATATAAACTTTAAATGGTTTGTGCCAAGTCAGTTTCTTACTAAATGAGTTCAAATTTTAGGAGGCTAATCAGAGGAATTAGGAACCGTTTGAGCACTGTGGAGCAAAAATTTGAAATTTTACATCTGTCTAATGGACATGGCCGTTTTGAATTTGTGTATTCCTGGCAAAAGCGTATACTGTTTGCGCATCTGCCAGATAAATGCGAAGTTGCGGTGAATCTCATGAATCCACGATTTTTTCCATACAGAAAAAAAAACGGTTTGACTACCGGAAATGGAAGGGGTAGCCATCTGTGAGAAAAAAAAACTAGATCTAGCAACATCCCAGGAGGTACCTGGAACATGTCCAGATATGATCCTGAGCACTTATTATAACGTCCATTAAACTAGGTTTTGAACTCTCATGTGATTTGATGTATCGCATGATAGGATTCGGTGAGGGACACGCAATACACAGCACCGCGTCGGAGTTAAAATGCAAGCAAAAGTACTGAATGTAATTAATGCATTTTAAAGTTATTATAAAAGTAATGAAAGTTAATTAAAAGAACTGAAATGTAAATAATGGTACTGAAAATGTACTTAACAGACTTTAATTACGAAAGTATGACTGTAATTAATGGATTTAAAAAGTAATTTCGGGATGTAATTTAAGTATTTAATGCTGTTATTAATGGAATTCATCCAGAGCACAAATCACGGACATCGTTGTGACATCGCTCATTAAATTGGAACTACCTGTACCGCAGCAAGCATGTTGTATGTTTTGTGGGAGCTGATATTTGTGCTCTTGGAATTTCAAAGTGATAGTAAAATAAATCAGATTTAAAATTTCCATAGCGGGTTATTGCATCCCCTATGTGTTATCAGAATAAGTAAGAAATTGGCCACTTTCCGTGGGTATACGGAACATGTCCGGGTGTGGCCAATGTGGTCCTGGACGCTTAATATGACAACCTTGGTTCTTGGTTTTGAATTTTCATGTGATAAGATGTGTCGCATGATGTTTTTTTTTCTTTCCTTTATTTAACGTCGGTCTCTGTTCCGCAATCTAGTGCCAATCACCGACGGACATCGATTGCCATCCATTGACGGCAATCGAATGTGCAGGAAGGCAGCTTCCACACCTGCGTAGGATATCGCACCCATTTAACACACATACACATGGGCCGGGGTGTCGCATGATGTGTTTGGTACGTTTCAGGTCGCTTATCTAGTCTTAAGGCCCGTATTCAACGAAACATGAAACATGACCGATTCCAACAATATTCAATAGCGGTTCAAATTGCATGGATCACAAGATTTGTTATCAAGATAATTTCAATGATAACTAAATCAGTTATGTTTGTGATATCCATGGAGTATTTTTTGTTATAATTTGTGTTATGTTGGTTGCTTATTCAACCACAATGATAACATATTCAGTTATCAAATCTTGATAACCAGGTATCAGAACTTGTTATCAATTTGGAATAATCCTTTGCTCAGGATCCTATGCTCGGGTAGAGTTTCTCATAATAAAAAAGTATATTTTACTCGCTACACATCTACCCATCTAAATATCAATTTTAGATGCTCAAAAAACTTCACACTAGAGTAAACGCTCCTATAGTTGCGGTACGTTAGAAGCGTTAGGTTCCTATAGTTGTGTATTGAGTCTCCATGCACAACTATAGGAACCTAACGCATCTAATGTACCGCAACTATAGGAGCGTTTCCCCTAACGAATCAATCTTCGAAAAATCTTATTTCATTTCTGGCATCTACTTGCATCGTGCATCACCTTTTTGCAGGAAATCTTCAGAATCATCATCAATCTGCTTTCTATCTACAGCTAGACACAGAAAACAGACTTTTCATGCATCGTAGATAGAGTCGCCCCCTCGATTTTACTGCATAAATTTCAATCTTATTTAACTGACATTCTGTAGCATTCAAACAAACGGTTATATGCTTGCAACGATAGTTGCCATTATAGTTTTTTTTATTCTGATAAATCAGTGATTTTCTGTGAAATTTTAAGTGAATTTTAAATAAAGTGTCTACATTTAGACGCAAATTTGCATTTGCATCACCTTTCAAGAATGTCCGAAGAAAAGAATAAAAAACTCAATATGATAAGTAACCGTGCAAGCGGCGCCAGTGGTGTAATGGTAAGCGTGATTGCCTCTCTCCCCAGCAGACCTGGGTTCAAACCAAGTCGGCGCCGTCGGGATGTTCTGAGGCATAACATCTCTGATCACACCTTCATTCGGAAGGGAAGTAAAGTCGTTGGTCCCCGGTTCATGAGTTGATGGGTCGATAGGTAGTGTCCGGGTGTGGGAGCTGCCTCCCTGGCGTCGGTAGCATTGGTGCTCAGCACGGAAGACAAGATCGATGGAGACAAGATCGATGGAAACAAATCAAGGAACAAAAAAATAAACAGCAGTTTAATACACATCAGAATTTCAGAACCAGATATATTTTATAGCATCAGCATTTGTTGATAACATGTTCAGAAAACATCGTAAAAATGCTACCATTTTGTTGCTTTAGCCATAAGATCAAATCGAAGAAAAAAATGAATGAATTCTTCTCAACTTTCCGGCTTACCTGGTTTGCATTTATGGACAATTTAGCATAACCGGTTATTTCAAGTTTGAGACTGCACACATTTTTTTAAAGAACATTTTGATCGCTCGACTTTGGCTCGTGATAGAGCAACTTTCAGAAAAAAATCGGCCATTTGGTGTCATGGTAAAAAAGTTACAGCTGTATGAACAATTTTTCAACTAAATTGTTCACAGTTATGAACATGACTCGATTTATATATATATATATATATTTTTGTTATATGCATACATGTTCAAATCAATATTCTTCCAGCACATAAGTTCGAAGAAGTGGCGATTGTTGTCAGTAGCAGTGTGATGCACCTAATCAACACCGTGTTCGACCGGGTGGCCTAATCTAAACACTATAAACACTAGACAACAGAAAACACCAAACAGATCAGTATGTTTCTTTTTAACGAAAGGTTCCACTGCCTGAAGCGGGAATGCAAAACTCACTTCGTGACACACACAATACGCCTGAACGGCGGGTAGCTCCGTTAGCCTCACGAAAACGAAGGCCACCGAACGACACATTACATAATCATCAATATCTCTGAAGTATCGTAATGGGTGTGCATTCTTTTAAGAACTATGAAACACTGGTTCGTTCATAAGTACAGAAAATTTAATAACAACTAATAAATGAACACCAAAATACCGAAATAACATTCAAGTCAAACATAATTTAAAAATTAAACAATAACAACATACGTACATTGTACCCATAGATCATAAATAC